TAAGTCTGCTAAGTCATTTTTTGCAGCTGGTTTGAGCCTTTGAGCCTTCACAGTCCTGTCACCCATCCTTTTGGCTCAAGTGGACGTGCGCAATTGACTTTTGCCTCGGCGCTTCTTGCGCTTCGGGTGCCACCGTGGTGGAACGAAGCCAGGGAATGTACAGAGATCATCCTCATTCAATTTCATCCACCGGGCCGTGCGCAATTGACTTTTGCCGCGGCGCTTCTTGCGCTTCGGGTGCCACCGTGGTGGAACGAAGCCAGGGAATGTACAGAGATCATCCTCATTCAATTTCATCCACCGGGCTAATTCATGATCTGATCAACAGCACCTTCGTTTGATACAGGAATGGCTGGTGAAGCGCTTGGGAATCAAAGATGACCTGAACTTTTTGACTTCATTTGTTGGCAATTTCTGCGTAACTGATTCGGGTGCAGCTGACTTGGCTTCCAAAGGCACCAATTTTTCTGTTAAGCCTTTCTGCAGAATTGCGCCTTTGAAGCCACTGACAGCACTCCCAGTCTTCCCCTAGATGAAACGTTGAAGATCTCGGGGGTTGACCCTTGTCATGCAATCTTCGGGGTGTTTAGACAAATTGCATCCCTGCAACACTTGTGTGCCTCAGATTTTTTGCCGAAGAAACAGAAAACATACCTCGGCATGAGACGGTATTCAGAGCGACGGCGAACAAGAAAGTTGGGCATGCCATGCCCAGAAATCGCAAAGCTTCCCATGCCATAGTTAAGGCCACGTGGTCCTTGAGCCGAGCTGCGAAGAGCCATGCATAAAGTGGAAATGCAGCATACCATTGCGTCATCGTTTGAACTTGTCGCAGTATGTTGCAATAAGTGAGTTGGTGATGCGTAATTCATTTGATTGATAGCCCTTCGGCCCTTCGGTTTCTTTTAGGGGAGGAATGCATATATCAGGATCCAGCGTGACCCAAAAGAGCAGCAATGAGCCTGCTGGATGGTGCGACCACATTGGTTTCGTCTGGTTTCATGGTGCAGTTTTGTTTACGCGCTCACGCAGACGGCAGGACTGATGCGTTTGAAGTTGGAGCACTATGTTGTGTTTGCTTAAGTAATTACTGTACAGGGTTTGGGTTTTGTTTGCGACATTCAACACAGTTGAAGATTAGTTGCGCCTCAAAATGATCAAACCATGGTTTTTGTTAAGATGTTTTTTAATGGTTCTTTCAAGTGTAACTGTAGCACAGCCATCTGGGTTTGCGCTCACTGCGTCAGTGTTGAAAATTGTCACGCCAGGAACCGAAATATGAGCTGAAGCTGAACATGCGAGCAGAGGAGCCATGGCCAAAGTGTAAAGGCTGACCTCCGTGGAGCAAGATGGAGCAAGTGCGGTGTTAGGCCTGCACAGAAATCAAGAAAACCGAAGTTGCCATGCGCTTCCGGAAGCATTTTTCCGGGAAGACAGGGAAGACCCCCCTGGTGACGCCTTTGTTGTATGCAGTGGACTGTCCTCCTTGATTGCAAATCGTTCAATCAGCAAGATATGTTGCATTCTGCACGTATTTCCTGATGGGCCTAAAGGGTTGCAAATTGTCAGCAGAGACTGAAGGTCCAAAAAGATCAAAAAGTAGGACTTGAGATTTAGGAGTGAAATCTCTGGAGGAGCCGGAGCAGCTGACTTTATCGTCCGTTTTGCTGTGCAAAAAAAATCACCCCAAACCTCCAAAATATCCAAAATGGTACAAGGGGATACCGTTGGAACTCCAAAGCCACGCACCGGGCACTGCGTCTTTGATCAGCCCGTCCAAAACAAGGCGTTTGGGGACCAAACCATATATAGGTGTCCTGTGCTCATTGGTTGGCTTTCTAATGAGGTTCGCTCCGCGGTTGCAGAGCCAATAGGTAAGCAATGATGAAACGTTACACCAAACCGCCCCCTTTCAAAAAGCCGTCATTGGAGCGAACATTCCACAGGGGTTTCAGCGCATCTTGCACACAATTACCCAGCTCTCCAAAAGCCACTGGCAGCCTTGCTTGTGCTTGCCCCCGTGTGCCAATCCTAGCCGCATTAAGATCTGACTTCAATAGTTGTTGCCTTCTCAACAGCATTTCCACATTCATTGACTTCTGCAGACCCTCACAACTCCCAGTACCAGGAATGAGCTCTTCTTGCTTTCTTATTGGCTTTCCAAAGCCACACTTTGTTCAGCCATGGCATTAGCAAGGCGACATTTATCACTGGATGAGATCAGCATGGACTCAGAAATCTTCTATTGACAGCTGGTTGTTGGGTGTTTGTGGCAAAAGCAGATGTTGCTACAAACATCCAGACTGCGCTGACGATTCGAGCGCTTGGAAAGTTCTTGTCGAATCTTTTGAATAGAAGCAGTTTGCCTTGGTTTTAGCGCCACTATCCTTTCAAGCTGTGCAAGCTGTCCCAACATCTTCATGGTACCTGAACCTTACCCCCGAGTACTTGGGAGTTGCCCTGACAGCAGGTCAAAAGTCAGACGCCAAAGTAATGTATATGCAGAGTGTGAAACTGTCTTAGCAAGTGCAAACACCAACATGTTCAAGCAAAATTGCCGTTGAAAGAGTGAGAAAGCTTGTTCGAGCAAAGAAAGCAGGGATTGCATGCGCTAACGGAAGGCCTGTGATGATCAAACTATCCAATGCCAGGTTTCAGTGATCTCATCCCAAAGTATCCCAAAGTAGGGTTTGCTCAGCATTTTTCAGCTTTCCAATGCTCGTCGTGGCATCGTCGTGTCGAGGCCCATTAGGCGGTCGCTCACGATTCCTCTGAAGCGCCGCCGTGAATAAAGTATAGACACAGAATGCAGAATTCGGCATCCCACAGGCTTGACAGCCATTGAGACCGTGGCTTTCTGCCAGCAAAACAGCGGCATGTGGGATCTCAGTGGAGCCATAGCGAACTGTTGATATCTAGACGGCGGAAGTGCAGGCGTAGGCTCAGACCCACTGAGTTTGGAGGAGCTTGGGCATAACTTCAGGTGGTAGCCGTCCTTTGCACGGTTCTTTGCAGAGGTGGCGCACCGTCGTGTATGCCAGCTTGGCCCAGCTTGGCTGTCAATCCCAGTAGATTCTAGTAGATCCTAGCGGTTTGCGTCAAAATACTCTGTCTTTGGTGTCTGGGCACACATCCGGGTAAGGAGCTACAAGGGCCAGCAGGTGGCCAGCAGAGTTACCCGAGTTACCCTTTCCAAGAAGAGGTTAACGTCGCCTAATTCAGCAACGATAAAAAATTAAGCTAACAATGGTGGAAATCATGGGATTTGGACATGGCTCCAGTACCAAGAGCATGAGCTATATGACCAAGAATTACATGTTTGTGCCAACAAAAGTGCTGGGGACAGACCCATGGAGTGATGAAATTGAAAGACACAGGTTGCTGTAGGCCTTGCTCTGAAGCAAAGCGGTCTCTTAGACACAGATGGCCCAATCTTATTGACTTAGGTGATTCCAGCGATTCCAGCAGTGGTTCTGTTGTTGACGATCGTACCATCAGCCAGAAACCAAGTAATGCGAATCTATGGGGTGCCCTCAACTGATTCAGAGGTGTTTGTCCATGCCGTCAGGTTGCAGCTAAAGCAGCAGCCAGTCAGTGAGTTTGCAGGTGAAATGACCTGCCCACATGTCAAGAGACCAGGACAGGTTTTCTGGAGGCTTGTGCTGGTTTTCGAAAAGTGAGAGACAGAGAATAAGACACGTAGCATCTGCGGTGGACAAATTGGGTCGAGTTGGTAGTGTATTAGATGTGGATCCACTGGATGCTTGCGTTTTTTCTATAGCAGTGGGAAGTCGGCAGTCCCGTGCAGTCCCCAGCCATGCTTGGAAAGTTGGCAAGCCACTGGAGCTGACTGGGCTGACTGCTTGAAGAGTTTCAAAAACTCCTGTGAAGCGAAACAGTCCCGTTCTCGACATTGGACTTTCTTGAGGTGAGTCAGGTAGCATCCCCTGTGATTCACTGGCTCAACCAGTAACATGGCTGATGGCAATTGCATTGCCCCCATTCACTTGAGCCTAGTGTTTTGCAAGGCAAGCGCAATATATAGGCTGAAGTCCAATTTTTTGGACTTCAGCCTTTAAAGACGTCGCATGCGACCTTCGCAAGTGGGGAAAAAAAGTATCGGTTGGTGCCCTCAAAAAAAACGTTTGAAACATATGATGTGTTTTGGCTTTGGCATGTCAAACGGTGCACCCCCAAAAAATACAGAGTTGTGAGGATGCCCATGTTTAAAAGGCTGACGGTGAGGTGAAATCTGAACAAACTTGCCCTCTTTTAACGCGTCAACGCAGCGCTCACTCAATCACTCCATCAAAACGCATGCATGCTTGCAGCGTGTACCGAAACACAGTCAAACGCGACATATGCGCCGGATGGCTCTTTTCAGCAATCCGTTTTGTACGGGATATCATATCCTCATCAGCGTATACCATAGGTATTTTGGGTTCTTTGGCAAGTAATGCCACACAGTGTGCCCCATGAAGTGCACCTTTGGTCTCATATGGTACTTTGCCTCCTTTTTTTGGACAGCAAGATCTGCTAAGGTGTTCAGAGCAGACCTGTAGACACAGTAAGCTCTTTTGAACTCACAAGTGGCCTTTGGGGTGAGTTTTCTTCCACCCCTCAAAATCAAGGTTTCCATCGTGGCAAGTCCTCCGATCAGCCCGCACCAGTACCTTAGTCCATGGGGGCTTTCAAAAACCAGCAAACCGGATTGCCTTTACAGTGGCACTGGATGTAAGTTTAAACAATTTAACCTGGAAGAACATCTTTTGAACTTTGATAACTAAATTGAAAAAACGTGGAAAGCAAAAGCCATTGGATTTGAATAAGGTTCTATAGGTCTGTTTGGAATGTGTCAAATGCAGTCTATCAACACTCATTCGTGGATTTTGCTTGGAATAGTTCCCCCAGTGGAAAAAACACCCCAGTTGTATGGAACCGATGCGTATAAAATCTTAAGGCTTAAGGGTTGCGAAGGTGGGAAATTTCTCTTTGACCATCTAGTTTAAAGAATCATTGACGGGATGCTTGTAGATGTCATCATCCAAAACAATTTGTTGAAGCGCCCTCGACAGCCAAAAAATCAGATATCGACAGGCCGTGGCAGATAAAATCTTTTGGGACACTGCCGGGTATTGGGCACCACCCTGCGGGCGCAACACACCCGTAGTGAAAAAATTTCTCGCTGCACGATCGGCCACACCTAGGTTGTTCGGTTCACAGTTGCTTTCAAACGAATCTGGCGTTGTTTTATCTGTTGAACTTGCCTGTTGAAGGTCAAACAAATCTACCCCCAGCAAAAACACCAAAACAAACCACCATTATGTTTCCTAGGGACTGGTAGCTTCACACCATTCCCGGTAGTTTGCATACAGCGTGGACAGTTTGTCATCCCTGGTGAATCCTTCAATGAGATTTGGATAGTCACACATGTCAATGAGCACCGACGCCACTGCATCCACACCAAGCGCCAAATGGACAATGTGCATCCAGTCAGGATAGATACCTTAGGATGTGGCGTTGCAAATGGCCATGTACATACATCAGCACTTATCTACCTGTACATATCGGTTTTGATATTTTTTGGGTATAAATAAATATGTGACTACGTCTATATGTGTATGTTACGAAAGCCAGCCGATAGGCTAGGCAAAGTTGTTTTGGCGAACGAAGTGAGTATTAGGGGGTCTGGGGGGTGGTCGTCGCGTATGGTGCCAAAATCTCGAAATTAGTTGCAGTGGAGGGTGGGCACATTGAACTTTTTTTGGGGGCATGTACCACTACGCAAAGAGGTGACGGTAGGCTTCGATTCCCCCTAGGTCCGTTGACTCCGGCAGGAAAAAGGGAGGAAAAAACCAAGGAAAATGAAGGAAAATCGTTGAAAACAGGGGGAAAATGGAGGAAAAAGGTAGGAAAAAAACGAAGGAAAATCGTTGAAAACAGGGGGAAAATGGAGGAATGCCAGGAAAAAGGTAGGAAAAAAACGACAGAAAAGGAAGGAAAATCGTTGAAAACGGGGGGAAAATGGAGGAAAATGGAGGAATGACAGGAAAAAGGTAGGAAAAAAACGAAGGAAAATCGTTGAAAACAGGTGGAAAATGGAGGAAAATGGAGGAATGCCATGAAAAAGGTAGGAAAAAAACGACAGAAAAGGAAGGACAATCGTTGAAAGTGGGGGGAAAATGGAGGAAAATGGAGGAATGACAGGAAAAAGGTAGGAAAAAAACGAAGGCAAATCGTTGAAAACAGGGGGAAAAATGGAGGGCAATAGCGTTTGAAACACGTGGAGTGTACTGTGTGGAGTGACATACAATCTGTCACCCAGCATGGAGTGAGGCGTGCACAGTGTCAAGTGTAAAATGTGGTGTCTAGCGTGTCGAGTGTGAAGTGTTGAGTGTAGAGTGTAGAGTGTGGAGTGTCAAGTACACCTGAGCAAAATTTGGGCGAAAAGTTCGGATGCTGCAGATGCATCACATGAGTGTGCTGGTTAAACTTGGGGAGCGCGAAAACCAACCAAAAAACATCACAACGCATTCAATTTTCAGCTCCAGAAGGGATCAAGTTCGGCAAAGTGCCGCTCGAGTTTAGCATAGGTTGGAATCCACCGACTGCCATAACCCATCCCCCAAATCACCATTTTTGGGTAGGATTTCATTCCTCCCCAAAGGGTAAGCTTATTAAGACTCTCCCACTCCCTTTATCAATTCAAGACAACCACAGACTTGATTGGGTTTATGACCGTGTCCTCCACTTGTCAAAAGGCACCCATTTCAAGTTCCCAAGCAGTACCCCCAACTTTGCATTCGAGTAACGGATGGTAACAGCTGTTTGTTTTGTTAGCCTAGCAACATCTTGCGCTGGTCATCTGGTGCCGGTGTGGTCGCAACCTCATAAAATAATCTTATAAACTTGGATGTGGAATCTGCCCTCCAAAATGGAGCACTAAATTAATGCCTCTCCTGTTAGAGGAGCAACCATTTCTGACCAGATCCTTCGAGTTTAGCATAGGTTGGAATCCACCGACTGCCATAAACCATCCCCCAAATCACCAATTTTATGGGTAGGATTTCAATCCTCCCCAAATGGTAGGCTTATTATAGGCTTTCCCACATCCCTTTATCAAGACACACACAGACATTGATTGGTTATGACAATGTCCTCCACTTGTCAAAAGGCACCCTTTCATAGTTCCCAAGCAGTACCCCAAACTTGGCATTCGAGGTAACGGATGGTAACAGCATGTTTGTTTGGATGTTAGCCTAGCAACTCTTGCGCTGGTCATTGTGCCAGGGGTGGTCGCAACCAAATAGAAATAATCTATAAACTTGGATGTGGATAACTGCCTCCAAAATGGAGCCACTAAATTATGTCTTCTAGTTAGAGGAGCAACCATGATATGACCAGTCCTATTCGAGTTTAGCATAGGTTGGAATCCACCGACTGCCATAAACCATTCCCCAAATCACCAATTTTATGGGTAGGATTTCAATCCTCCCCAAATGGTAGGCTTATTATAGGCTTTCCCACATCTCTTTATCAAGACACGCACACACATTGATTGGTTGTGACAGTGTCCTCCACTTGTCAAAAGGCACCCTTTCATAGTTCCCAAGCAGTACCCCAAACTTGGCATTCGAGGTAACGGATGGTAACAGCATGTTTGTTTGGATGTTAGCCTAGCAACTCTTGCGCTGGTCATTGTGCCAGGGGTCGTCGCAACCAAACAGAAATAATCCATAAACTTGGATGTGGATAACTGCCTCCAAAATGGAGCCACTAAATTATGTCTTCTAGTTAGAGGAGCAACCATGATATGACCAATCCTATTCGAGTTCAGCATAGGTTGGAATCCAACGACTGCCATAAACCACTCCCCAAATCACCAATTTTATGGGTAGGATTTCAATCCTCCCCAAATGGTAAGCTTATTATAGGCTTTCCCGCATCCCTTTATCAAGACACACACACACACATTGATTGGTTGTGACAGTGTCCTCCACTTGTCAAAAGGCACCCTTTCATTCATAGTTCCCAAGCAGTACCCCAAACTTGGCATTCGAGGTAACGGATGGTAACAGCATGTTTGTTTGGATGTTAGCCTAGCAACTCTTGCGCTGGTCATTGTGCCAGGGGTGGTCGCAACCAAACAGAAATAATCCATAAACTTGGATGTGGATAACTGCCTCCAAAATGGAGCCACTAAATTATGTCTTCTAGTTAGAGGAGCAACCATGATATGACCAATCCTATTCGAGTTTAGCATAGGTTGGAATCCACCGACTGCCATAAACCATCCCCCAAATCACCAATTTTATGGATAGGATTTCAATCCTCCCCAAATGGTAAGCTTATTATAGGCTTTCCCACATCCCTTTATCAAGACACACACACATTGATTGGTTATGACAGTGTCCTCCACTTGTCAAAAGGCACCCTTTCATAGTTCCCAAGCAGTACCCCAAACTTGGCATTCGAGGTAACGGATGGTAACAGCATGTTTGTTTCGATGTTAGCCTAGCAACTCTTGCGCTGGTCATTGTGCCAGGGGTGGTCGCAACCAAACAGAAATAATCCATAAACTTGGATGTGGATAACTGCCTCCAAAATGGAGCCACTAAATTATGTCTTCTAGTTAGAGGAGCAACCATGATATGACCAATCCTATTCGAGTTTAGCATAGGTTGGAATCCACCGACTGCCATAAACCATCCCCCAAATCACCAATTTTATGGATAGGATTTCAATCCTCCCCAAATGGTAGGCTTATTATAGGCTTTCCCACATCCCTTTATCAAGACACACACACACATTGATTGGTTATGACAATGTCCTCCACTTGTCAAAAGGCACCCTTTCATAGCTCCCAAGCAGTACCCCAAACTTGGCATTCGAGGTAACGGATGGTGTAAAGTGTAGAGTGTGGAGTGTAAACTGTAGAGTGTGGAGTGTAAAGTGTGGAGTGTGGAGTGTAAAGTGTAAAGTGGAAAGTGTGGAGTGTAGAGTGTAGAGTGTAAAGTGTAAAGTGTAGAGTGTGGAGTGTAAAGTGTGGAGTGTGGAGTGTAAAGTGTGCAGTGAGGAGTGAGGAGTGTAAAGTGTAACGTGTAAAGTATGGAGTGTAGAGTGAAGAGTGTAGAGTGTAAAGTGTAGTGTGTAAAGTGTAGAGTGTGGAGTGTGGAGCGTAAAGTGTAGAGTGTGGAGTGTGGAGTGTAAAGTGTGGAGTATGGAGTGTAAAGTGTAAAGTGTAAAGTGTGGAGTGCAGCGTGTAGAGTGTAAAGTGTGGAGTGTGGAGTGTAAAGTGTGCAGTGAGGAGTGAGGAGTTTAAAGTGTAGAGTGTGGAGTGTGGAGTGCAAAGTGTGGAGTGTGGAGTGTAAAGTGTAAAGTGCAAAGTGTGGAGTGTAGAGTGTAGAGTGTCGAGTGTAAAGTGTAGAGTGTAAAGTGTAGAGTGTGGAGTGTGAGGTGTGGAGTATGGAGTGTAAAGTGTGCAGTGAGGAGTGAGGAGTGTAAAGTATGGAGTGTAGAGTGAAGAGTGTAGAGTGTAAAGTGTAGTGTGTAACGTGTAGAGTGTGGAGTGTGGAGTGTAAAGTGTAGAGTGTAAAGTGCAGAGTAAAGTGTAGAGTGTAAAGTGTAGAGTGCTGTGTGTATGCCTGTCTGTGTCTGCGTCTGTCTCTGTATGGGAGGGAGGTGACAGTTGGCTACGCGAGGTTACGGGGAAGCATGGGAGCAAATTTCTGCCATTTGGCGGCCCCCCCCGGCCGCCTATTGAATTTCTCTTCTGGGATCATTGGGAAAAGGCCGTTTAGGCCAAATCTTGGCCGGGAGGATTTCACGGGTCAGGTCACGGGGGGTCATGGGAGGTTACGGTAGGTTACGGGAGGTTACGGAGGAGGAAAACGGAGGAAAGTAGAGGAACGGCAGGAAAAAATCGTTAAAAACAGGAGGAAAATGGAGGAGCTCCGAAGCTCAACGGAGAGCAGCGTCCGTTGGGGTTCGGAACAAGATAGTTTGCAAGGGGATGAGAAGTGATACTGAGGAAGGGGGGCCGAAGGGTTGCAAAGCAAGGAGAAGTCTTCCAAAGGTGCTGCAGATGGTTTGGGCTTCTAGTTCATACGGGATTGTAAGAGGACGTTTGGGGGCTCGGGGCTGGCTTTCGTCCCCCCTTCTCAGGTGTGTTTAAATTTATGTTAAGTTATATAATATTATATATACACAGTTTGTTTTGGGGGATGTGTGGCAACTGCAGATGTATGGACCATGGATGGTACACACTATATGCAGATATAGATGACATGGAAACAGAAAGGTTATACAGAATTCGTTTGGGGACTGAATGGAAACCCAAATGTTGAGGGGCGCTTGGAAAACAGAAACCTTGCCAGTTTGTAGGTTGGAAAAAACATGTTGCCAAAATTTTCTGTGACAAAACGCGCTCTGGTTGGAAACCAGCAATTTTGGTGATTGGGGACTCGCCATGCAGAGCCACAAACTCATC